TTCCTATCTCAAGCAAATAACACTGATTATCATAACACTTACAATTGTTTTTAGCTATTTCTCCTGATATTTATTACCATACTTCTAAACAGTATGGTTACACAATTTTTTTCCATTTTAGACATTCAGTTAATTTCCAATTCCAACTATAGAAAATTAAACATTAGCTCTCTGAAACTATTCTGCCCACCATCCCTAAACCCACCCATGACAAAACCCCATTCTCTGAAAATAGTTGTTCTGTAATTGTTATTAAGTCAGTGTTTACAATTTGCATTATTTTGGTTACTGAAACATTCCACAGCTAAGTCAGGTAGTGTAGTATACTATGATTACATTTCTTTTCTTTTAAGACTTTCTGGTTTGCTCTTGCCAATGTGGTTCAGTTGGATGGAGCATCCTCCCATACACCAGGAGATGGCGGGTTCAATTCCCAGTCAGGGCACATACCCAGGTTGCAGGTATGTTGGGGTATGTGTGACAGGCAACTGATTGTTACCTGTCTTATTTCTAGCACTGAGAAATCTAATACCATTCGAATTCCCAGTACCTAATATATACCCTTTTTTCTCTCTCTGATAATTTTATGATCATTTGTTTACCTCTAAATTTCTGAAATTTCACAATAATGTTTCTTGGTGTGATCCATTTTTATTCTTTGTATTATTGCATACTCCATGGATTCTCTTCCATCTGAAAACTTAGCTCATTAGTAATGGGTAATCATCTGATATTCTACTTCTTTGAAAAATGTCTCCCATCAATTTTCTCTGAAATGCTCCACACAAATGTGCTTCCAATGTGTGACCAGTGAGTTTTCAAGCTATAAATAATTCTCTGGAACTTATTATTGCGTCTTCTATCTTTTCTAAAAAGGTGATTCTTGAATAGTGAAAATCTGAAGCCAGAAAGAAAGACTTCCCACATAGAGCAAGAAATCCATCTCAACTCCCATTTGACCTGTATGCCTTAGAGACAGGAAATTTCCCACAGAGAGCCTCATTCACGGGTTTCCTCCTCCGGAAGCCCTAGCAAACATTTGCACCAGCCCCACAATACTCAGAAGAAAGGAAGGGAGGGAGGGAAGGAAGGAGGGAGGGAGGGAAGGAAGGAAGGAAGGAGGGAAGGAGGGAGAATTGATGACCTCCTCCTTTGTGTTAAATTTTCTGTGGCATTTGTGGCCACATGAGGACTTATTATCCTTCATGTAAGCTTCTTTAGCAAAGGTAGAATATGTTATTTAGGTTTATATTCCCAGTGTTGAGCGGAGTGTCGCAGCTCATTGGGCACTGCGCGAACACTTGCTGAATGACTGATGATGGGCAGGCAGTGTTGCCATCAGTTCTGCAGTTCTGCCAGCTTGATGTCAGCCACAAGACCTTCATTTGCACCATGTTCTCTCAGGCTATAGAATTGGCAACAGTGATTACCACCAGGCTCTTCTTCCTTAGGGACCAATGCCAGGCAGAAATATAAGGTATGTGTTTATTTCAGCAGCAAGTTCAAAGGAGAGCGTGAGCAGATATATATCAGTGATTCTCAGTAGAATGTACTCATTGGATGTCGTTTTTTTTAGCACAATTATAATTAATTTAAAAACAAATACTGCATGCCATAAAATACTTATTTTATGGAGTGTTAAGTATTACAGAATTAGCCCAAACAGTAAATTTGAAATCTCTTTGTGTCCAAATATCCTATGCACTAATATCACAAACAGTAAATTTGGACATGTCACTATTATTTTTCAGAAAGTTTACATAATTAGAGGTACATACAGTCTCTTGTAATATTAATACAGTGGTGTTTGAATACATGCATTTAAGAAGTGAAAAATCCCCATGGAAATTCACTCCATAAAATCAACACCCTGGAATGACCTATACTTTTCCAGATCCTTCATCCAAATCCTCAGCAGCTGAGCTCATTCTGAATGAAACTGCATGAAAAGAATTACAAAAAATATATAATGGAAATGTACAAAATAAGTAGTCAGTAGTTAGAAATATAATTTCAAGGCGTCCTGGAGAGGTGTTTCACAGGGAAAGTCAGGACTTCTACAAACATTGCCCAATCTTCCTTACAGGACAGATTCCAATCAATTCAGATGATTTAGAAAATGAGGCCAGTATGCTGAGATGCGAGTAAAATAAGTCGAGGTTACTTTTTTATTAACGTTCAGTTCAGTCTTTGGATCGTGGAAGCAGATTTTAACTATAAATATTATAAATCAGAATTTAAATAGGAAGTGTGAATAAGAAAGCTTATAGAGATAATTTTTCTAAAAATCTATCAGACCACAAGATGTTATGGAATGAACACTCAAAATGTAGTGATGACTGTCATAACAATAATTAGAACATTTGTCTTGAAAGTAAAGACATTACACTCATGGGATTAGTTTGAAAGTAACCAAAACAACCTAGATTAGAAATTAGGACACAAGGAGTTAATACTGTGTTGGATATATCTAATTTATAACCAGTCTTTGTAGTCAGATTTTCTCAGCACGTATTGAACTGTCTTTCTTTGATGATATAAAAATACTTATAGCCCTGGCAGGTTTGGCTCAGCGGTTAGAGTGTCAGCCTGCGGTCCAGAGAGACCCGGGTTTGGTTCCCGCTAAGGGCACGTACCTCGGTTGCAGTTTGTCCCTGGCCCTGGTTGGTCATGCGGGTGGCAGCCACTCGATGTGTCCCATTAATGTCGATGTTTCTCTCTTTCTCTCTCCCTTCCACTCTATCTGAACAAAAAAATGGAAAAAATGTCCTTGGGTGAGGATAAAAAAAAAAAACATACATACTTGCCAAGGTTGAGTGAAATAAGTTAATTAATATTATGGTAAGGTGGTAAGGTCTTAAAGGCAATCTGTTCCCCAAAGGATTAATAAAATTCTATCTCTTTTTAGCAAAAGAAATGAAATCAGAATTGTCTCAACTTAAATGGAAATGTACCAAATGTGGCTTAAGAATGACACAGTAATACCACTTGGTCTTTCTTAAGTTAGCTGTCTCTTTCTACACTAAATAAAGAAAAGAAAGCATCTAAAACAGAAACTCCCTATTACAACCCAAATTTGCCCATGAAAGCAAAAATGTTCTGACCTGCATCTATGCGCTTTTTCCACTTTCCATAGCCTCCCACACGATAATGACTTATGCATGGAATTCAGGGACTTTATATTTTCTTTTGAGTGCAGAATGAACGCCAACATGGAAAATGTGAATGCTAACCATTTTCAAAGATGGTCACAGATCTTTGAGAGAACCAAATGGTATCCAGAAAGATATTTGGTCAGGCTGGGGAACCAAATTCTAGTACATTCCTTAAGTTCACTGGGCTTCACAGGATGGGAATATTTACCTTTCTGGCATGTGCTTAGAGCTTAGTCAGGATAGCTTGAAATTTTTGGTGAGGAGTCAGTCCTTTTCAATAGCCTGAAGTGACCCCAAACCAGCACAGCAGTTAATCTTGTTTATGGCTGGAATCAATAAGCCAATCCCTGGTATGTGCTGAAAGTTCCTACGTGGAGTCAACACTAGAAGTGTCTGCTCTTGAATGGGATTTTTCTTTTACAGTCCACTAATTTGGTTTAATTATGGAACAACATTTTATAAGGTTGAGTTTACATGGGTATAATTTGTTTCCTTTAACTAAGGGTTTGAATAATTTAAGGCAAAAGTATGGATACCAGGAATGTGTTTATATTCTGACCTTATCTTATGCCTGGTTTTCTTGTTTACTTAAATTTTTATGGTCAAAGTCTAACAGAAGTATACAAGCTAAACTCCATAGAAGCCAAAGAAATGAGACTGAAATTTCTGAAGAATTATTCCGATTGTCTTATTGTGCTCACATCTTCTTTTGGTTCTCCTGAATTCCTGCCTAAGGAGTTTAGATTTCATATATATATTAAAAATATGTTGAGAGGAAGGGTGGAGGCAGGATCTCACTCCACGGAGACAATGAAGTGTGTTGGCTATCTAATCCTGGCCTTAGAACCAGGGCCTAGACTGAATCCTGGCTTACTTCCTAGATGCATATAAAACCACAGGAAAGTTATTTAATGTTTCTAAGCTTCAACAATACCAGCTAGCTAGCTAGCTAGTAGTAACAGTAATAGGATGCATGTAAATGTATTTATCCTGAGGTATTGTCAATGGTATGTGTTATGCTTTTTTATCCATGAATTATGTGTTAATATGAGCTAAACTGGATTATTTCATGTTTCTTAGTCACTCCCTAGAGTAAATGCATCCTGATAGTTTGGGATCTGCATTAGCTCTTTCACACACTAATACATTACAAATGCTGTCTCTATAGCTCCAATTTTGCATGGACAGTTCCCTGGTGGCTTTTGTTGAAATTCAAACCAAACAGCAAATAGATTTCTGTAAAGACTTGTGTTCACGAAAGTAAATCAAAAAAGTATGTAAGCTAAAGCAACAAGTTTCTTCTGATGAATTGTACCAACTATTGCAATCCAAATATTTTCTTAATGAAGTTTTCAATGTTCAATAGTTATCTTTTTTTTTTCTTTATTGTTTTTAGAGAAAGAAGGAGGGAGAGGGAGAGAGAGATACAAACATTAATGAGAGAGAACATCAATTGGCTGCCTCCTGCATGCCCCACACTGGGGATTTGGCCCACAACCTGGGCATGTGCCCTGATCAGGAATTGAACCAGCAACCTCTTGGTGCATGGGTTGATGCTCAACCACTGAGCCACACTGGCTGGGCAATATAGTTATATCTTTATCAATAGATCAATCAATCCAGCTGCATTTTAAAATATTGTCAATGCTTTTTAAATCAGAAATATTCAATATGAAATTTTCTTCTAGTATTAAACTGCTTCTTAAAGAAGTAACACTATTAAATAGAAACTTTATAAATTCTCCTACTTAATCTTTCTAGTACAGATTAAGTGCTCTCTTTTTTAAGATACATTTTCACTTTAGAATCATATCCTGAACTATGTATTTTTTAATTTTTTAATAGGTGGTGAAATGATAAAACTCACTCTCTTCTTCAATCAGCAAATTTAAAGTGATCTTTCATCAAGTTCCATCTCCTTTTGTCTCATATGGAATGTATCTCTCTATCTGTTGTTAAACTACAATGACATGTCTGTAGCTATCAGAAAGAGAAGCTGGGAAGAACATGTGACCCAGTGGATGGGACAGCCTTTTAGTTCTGATGATCATAACACAGCATGTCATCATGGACTAGTAGCTGACAGCTTGCAGGCAAGTATGGAAAAAGATGCAACTCTAAATGCGGACCGCAAAGAGAAGTGTGTTTCACTACCAGACTGCTGTCATGGATCAGAGCTGAGAGATTTTCCTGGGATGCCAATGGGTCACATTTCAAAGGAGGTGGATGAAAATGACAGCCACGAAGGTGAAGATCAGTTTCTTTCTCTGGAAGCCAGCACGGAAACACTAGTGCATGTTTCTGATGAGGATACCGATTCTGATCTATATCTTACAGATGATAAACAGATTTTAACTTCCCAAGGGCATAAAACATCAGACCAACATAGCGTCAAAGGAGCAGGCTCCTTAATAAAGACACTGCCTATCACAGAAAGAAGCCAAGACTCTTATAATCCGTGGGGAATGGCTGGTGGAGCTGATTTAGCACTAGTAGAAGAAAGGGGGAAAAGAAACGTCATTGACATTATAAGTAAAAGCCTGGAGCTCTGTAATGATATGAACTTAAGTGAAATTAAAGATGCATCCCAAATACATGTTTGTGATTCATTGAATGTGAAAGATATTGTGCCTGAGAAGCAGTTGCTTAATTCTGCTGTAATTGCTCAGCAACGAAGGAAACCCGACTTCCCTAAAGAGGAACATGAAAGAAACACCTGCTGTGTAGAACAAGATGAGTTTTTCACCATTCCTTGTTCAGAGAGAGGGCTGCCGTTATTAAAAGCAGATACTGGAAGCTGCCTTCTGCAGCCTCCTTCCTGCCCTGGTGGAATGTCAGCGGAAAATGGCCTGCAGAAGAGTGGTTTCTCAGAACATCAAAACAAACGTCTTCCAGAGGTCAGCTCAGGAGATGGCATGCAGTGTTTACACTTAAAGGAACCTCTGGCCACCCAGGAACCCACAGATAATCAAGTCAGACTTCGCAAAAGGAAGGTAAGACATGTGCACAGATTGTCTAGGTTTTGGAATTTTGTAAATATCCTTGTCTCCATCACTTATTATTTTAATAGCATTACAAAGATATATAGTCCTGGCCAGTTTGGCTCAATGATTAGAGCGTTGGCCTGCGGTCCAGAGAGACCTGGGTTCGGTTCCCGCTAAGGGCGCGTGCCTCTGTTGCAGTTTGTCCCCGGCTCTGGTTGGGTCGTGCGGGTGGCAACCACTCGATGTGTCCCTTTCACGTCGATGTTTCTCTCTCTCTCTCCCTCCCGCTCTATCTGAACAAAGAATGAAAGGATGTCCTCTGGTGAGGATTAAAAAAAAAAGATACATAGATGTTTCTTTTGCCCTGTAATATAGCTATGTGACTCAAAGAGCTATCTTCTTGGGGAAACCATCAAAATATCTAAAAATTAAAATATAAAAGCCTATCCATTTCACTAATGATACTTACAATGGTTTATGAACATTCGCTATTGAAAATGTGTTGAAGCAGAATTGGTTTCACTTTCTTCAGATGGAATTAAATAGTCACGAGAAAGCTCAATGTTCAAAACTCATCTGAGTGAAGAGTGATCTCTAATTATTTTTTAAGTCAAGGTATTTTTTAAAATTTAATAGCATTTATTTGGGCTTCTTTCTTTTTCCCTTTAAAAAGCACATTTTATCATAATAAAAGTCATATAAATTACATTAAAAATGACCATTTTATGTATATCTAAAGGCAACAGTATCCCCTCCCCCAAAATACACTGATACTATTTTAAATGAATCCCTGACATATTCATTATCAATGGACATATCAACTTTTCTTTAATTCTTGACTAAAAAGGGCCAATAATTGACATTGTTTCTATGCCAAGGCTCTCTGACTAATCCCGCAGACGCATGCTCCCTCCCCTAAGTAGTTTCCAGTTGAGCGAAGCAAGGATTCGAGTGGAGTTATAGGAAGCATGGGTTAACTAGTGAACTCTTGAGCAAAGATTGTCTTGCATTTAGGATTTTCCCAAAACTCTTCCAACAATGTAGTGCTGTGTAATCCTAATGTAAATATAAATACAATTTCTTCTATAAATCCAATACAGTCATTGGCATTGGGAACAATGCAGATTGGACACATTAGTGTAACATCCTCACCCCTCTTTTGATGTAGCATCAATCCATAATTGCAATTCTAACACTCAACTAATGTTCCTAGTTCTGTTCAGCTGAGCTGTCTACAATGAAGGGTAAAGATCTCCAACTCTCTTTGTGGTGAAGAAATCTGGTTTTCATAAACTGTGGTTTCGCTAACAAACTAGATCAGTAACATGTCATAAGTCAGTTTAAGTGAAGTCAAAGACTTTACAGCAAAGATCAATGTGTTCAAACTATATGCCCACAGAGCATTCTGTGCTGCTGGCAAACTCTTCCTTCCTTATATAAGTTGTATCAAAATGCTAATGCGCCATAAAGTTGTTTAGATTGGAATGTTCAGGTCACCTTTTCAGAAATTTCCATATATCCTATCAAATCTGTTGGAGGGAACGCAATAATGACATAAGAAAGTATTAACTGACCTATGACATAGCTCCCCTAAAATAAGACAAACCCTGCCCAACTGCCGACAGAAACATTAAACATTCCAGAAACATATGCTCACCACTTGGACATTTATATCAATACTAAGAATGCTGGAAAGAATTTGTTCTTGGACATGTCACTATAGCATGGTTGTATTATGAGAGCTGTAATTATATCTCATTTACAAGTTCTAACTTAAATAGTCTATTTTAAGCATTTCATCATTCTGAAGTGCTGTGGCATTGTCTGCTGGGACATTTGCTTTGACTCTACAACTCATCTGTGATGTCTTATAAAAAACAGGTTTAATAAAAAAATTTTAGGTTAAGAATTTAATCTGGAAAAGTATGGTTATCAGAGAAGCCTCTGGAATAAAAACCTGTAGGAATTTTTGTTCTATTAGTTATTGATGAGTTTAAATACTTTGGAATTAGCCATTTTAGAACTTTACCAAAAGAAATAATAAAACAATTTCACAAAAATTTATGCACAGAGATGTTCATAATTGTATTGTATGTTACTGACAAAAAAATTCCACCAATAATGTTTAATTATTATTTAGAATGATATGTATGTGCTAGAGTTAATAATAAAATTTATGTATAAACTATAGTACAGTGTGAAATGCTATGCAACCATTACAAAGATGGAGTGAGATCCATGTGTACTAACTGAATGATGATGCTCATGATATAGTGTATCTGAAAAATGACACTGGCAGACCAATATGTACAGCATATCCCAACCTATATGACAAAATGTGAGGATGCAGAGATAGAGATGTAGATACATATAGATGTGGATGTGGATGTGGATGTGGATGAGGATATGGATGGAGAGAGAGAGAGAGAGAGAGGGAGAGAGAGAGAGAGAGAGGATATAAACTTCTCTATATAACTAAATAGGAATATGCCAAATCTTACCTAAGTAGGCACACAATTGTTAATAGCAGTTACTTTAAGATAATAGAATTAAGAGCATAGAAGCAGAGAATTTTTACCTTTTTATCCTATATAATTTTTATAAAAGGTCATAGAATTATGGGCAGACTGCATATAATTAATGGATGTACAAAAACAAAATATTAGATATACAAACTACTTGAAGTATTTTTTCAATGTCACAAAACAACGATTTATCTAATTATCATGATTGTTATTATCTTTATAAAATAGAAACAAATATTTATAAAGTTTTTCAAAATATCAATAAGAGTTTCTGCCCTGGCCAGTTTGGCTCAGCGGTTAGAGCGTCAGCCTATGGACCAAGAGAGTACTGGGTTCGGTTCCCGCTAGGGGCACATACCAAAAAGAAAAGTTTTAATCAATAGTCAATTCCTAATGCCAGCACATCTAGCTAAAAACAGATAAGCCTTTTGAAGAGACAGGCAAGCCACGTCTTCATGTCTAAGGTATTAGGTATCAGATCTGGAAAAGAGTTTGCTTAATCGTCTTATCTTTTAAACTGTCAGCAATAGCTATGGTGACAGCTCTAAGATTAGAGTTTGGAAAGGTGAACTAGAGTATAAGATAATAAAATTTTAGTTAGAAAACTTTAATCAGCTCATTATCTGATGGTTATATGAGTGAACAAATCCTTCATTGTATTTATGAGCATGAGTTTTGGGGGTTTTATTTATTTATTTTTTTGGTCAGGATATAATCAAGATTCTAAAACTCGAAAAAACTATAAACAAAAACAGAACTTATAGGAGTGATATTCAGAATATACTGAAATATTACTCTATTTAAAGATACTGTACTTTAGATATAAATTATCATTTCTTGAAACCTATAAATCGTGTCAGGCATTTACTGTATTGCATGATGTATTTTCTCTGGTTTTCCAATGATATTTCTGGCCATCAAGGATATATATATATATATAGAGAGAGAGAGAGAGAGAGAGAGAGAGAGAGAGTTTCAATTGGAGAGGACTGCATGTGTAGTATAAGTAAATATTAACCTTTTAAGCTAACAATTCCCCTAAATATAATAAAATATATAATTAAGATGAAGCCACTGAAATCAAAGGAGAACCAAATAGATTATAAGCAGACATTAGAAATGAGCCAGCCCGAAGGTCGTGTGGCATAGGACCCGAGTGTACATGGCGTGGGTGGGTCTTTGGGTAAGGCAGCTGGTTAAGAGCAATTCTTAGAGACAAATTCCAAAGAAATCTGGAGGAGGGAAACAGTCTAAGAAGTGGTCTCTTTAAACCAAATGAGATGTGAAGATGGAAAATATGTAGGGAAAGACTTGAGGTCAGACTTTTTTTAGGGAACTGGTGTATTTGTTCTTGACGGTGGTTCACTAATTAAAGAGAATCTAACATTCAGTCTTCTCTAGAGGCTATTTAAATAGTTCCCAAATTTTTGAATAACCATAATAGTTACATAAATGTAGGAACATGTTTTCATTTGCTCACATAAAACTCAATCCATATTACAAAGCAAAATAAACTCCAAAAGATAATGCAAAAATTATCTGAACTTTGAGAAGACACCTAATTGCACTTTTGAACAACAACAACAAAAAAAGACTCACATTCCAACAATAAACTGAATTATATCATTTATGCTAGAGATTTGGTTGCCATCACAGCAAACCAGCACGAAAGTGGCTTAAACTCCGTCTTTCTGTCACACATACAGTTCTGGATCAAGGAGTAGGCTCTATGTTTTTAAAACTCCAGACCCCTTTTATCTAACTGCTCTACCACCTTGAGCCCTCACCCATATTCAAGCCAGTGGGAAGAGGAGGGGTGGGGATGGCCACACTTCTGCTTGAAGGCGGGTCCCAGAAAGCGCATGCTTCCTCTCTTTCCCTATTTCCTGTGCTAGAACTTAACCTCCAGAGATGCGCGCAGCCCTGAGAAATGGAGGCTGCATGCTGGGGAAGCACATGTCTGCTAAAAACTCTGTTATCAGTGCAGAAGGGGACATTTTATATTGAGAGATAACTCACAACATAAATATGTTAATGAACAATATACTAACATAAATATATTCTAGTATAGAGTCGTGAAAGGGATAAACAGGCTTCATGGATGTCCCGTGGCTTCTGTATAAATACCTGATGCTTTAATTTCATGCTACAGAATATCTTTCCATATTAGGCTACTCTTTTATATGTGACAATGGTGTTTTATCAAATGCTATACTTGTCCTTGTGGAAAAAATGCCCAGGAGCAAAACATTATACTGTACATACTATACTTCATCTCTGAACAAATGTAATACATTAACAGTGACTGACAAAAATCAAATGCTTTCTTTTTACCCTATTTTAAAAATACAGATAAACTTGGTAAAAGCACGCCTATATCTAAAAGGACCTTCTCACTCCTTTCTATGACTGTCTTGTGCCTTCTGTCTCCTGAATGACCATATGTAAGCCGTGTAGCCTGGGATTTAACACTGATCTATGGGT